TCCTGCTCCTCCGACCTGGATCTATTCCTGGGCCACTACTAAGCTACCTTACAGTAAACCATTTGAGTTGTAAGCATTTTCAGCAAAATTATTTACTTCTTTTTACAGTAACGTAGACAGATGATAGAAGGACTCAAACTTTGAAACAAAGCACAAATCTTGCATTCACCAGTCAACTCTTCTTGGATTAAACCCAGTCTCCGAGCCTGCATGATCTTATTCATAACGTGGACATGTTTCATCATAGTGAGGAGTTTCCCTAAGCTAAGCTGCAAACCATATACCCTCCTCACTTTTTCAGTCCACTGCAGCCATTCTTTTCATTGTTTCCTTTCCTCCTGTGCCTGCTATGTGGCAATACATGAGACACACGCCCCACCCCATCCCCCCCACGACAGGCATTCTTCTTCCCTTTCCCTTCACCTTGACCTGAAGATGCTCCCTCATCTTCTCCCTCCTGAGCAGGTACAGGATCCTGACTTTCAGCTGCCGGTTCCCCTTCTTCAGGTTTTGGTGGTACCACTTCTTCATCACTGAACTGCTCGGGCTAGGGAAAGTGTGTGGGTGTGTGTGTGTGTGTGTGTGTGTGTGTGTGTGTGTTTGCAAATCAAGAAAAAACAGGTTTCTTGTTAATACAAGATTACATATATATATACATATACAGAATACACAGATATTTCTGATCATAACTAAGACTAAAGACAGTTCTTCTTCATGAGACAGCAGGAAGGAGAGGAAAAGAAAAACAAAAACAAAAAACAGACATTTCTCCAAATCCATTGTCCATGCCCAATAAGGTTACTCCACCCACAGGAAGCTTACTGTGAGAACAGTGACCCACAAGGACTTTGGAAGCTATTACACGATGTGTATCATCTGTCATTTACAAGCCCACCATGAGAAAAATGTCATGGGCAAAAGCTGAAGAACACGAGAGAGAAACAAAATCCACCTGAATCAATGTTCCCTTCACGAGACGCCATAATCATTTTTATCAGCATGAAAGAATTTTATCAGTGTCTATACACCTATGCAACAACATTATCACAAATATTACTGTCTGCTAATAGAAAATATCGAATTAACATTAAAGCACTCACCAGCATACGCCCAATCATCTCAGGAGGTTCTATACGGCGTCTTGGATTAGGCCGATAGGTTGATCTTCCACGCCAACTCATATTTCTCGCTGAAAAAAACAGCAATAAAAAAAAAATCGTGATTGGGAACGTGCACTTGCGAGGACAGCTATATTCGATCACTTCCGTGGCTAAACGGTAACTTCTCATTTATTTTTGAAAACACTCTCACAATAAGTCCCTCAGTTAAGCAGACGCGTGTACCTTTTCTAAGTGCCTGCAAAGCCACTTATGCTGGCCATGCTGGCAGAACAATCATCTTAAGGCGTGTGGCAAAACGCAGCAGACATGTTTTCTCTAAATTTCTTTTGGATGCGCGGTCTCGCTCTGTTGCTCAGGCTGGAGTGCAGCAGCGCGGTCACAGATCGCTGAAGCCTTGACCTCCCTGCTCAAGGGAACCGCCCTCCTCAGATGAGGTTTCCTTTCACGAGTGAACTCCACATGAAAACACTAGTGAATCACAATTCCCCTGACTACTGCTTGTGGCACACTCCCACTTACTAGAGCCAGTCACCCCCCTCAAATCAAGTTTGCTTGGACGGCACAGCCTCGCCCAGTCCTTCCCGTTGTTTCCGGACCCTCCATGGTGGAGGTGAGACCTGGCGTGGCTTCTCACTCGGGCGCTCTGCTCTCCACGATGCTAGGGGGCGCGAAGCAGCCCGCAGCCTTCCCAGATGCCAGGCCCGGTCTTCACTTTCCACCTCGCACCCATCCCCTCGCCCCCACCCACGGGGACCCATTCAGGACTCAGGAATCTGCCCTGTAGGGGGGCTTCTGGCACCTCAGGACTTCCATTCCTCCAACATCACCCCCAGCACTCGCCCCAGCTTCACCTGAGCCCCGGACCGCCTCCCTTCTGCGGCCCACCTTCCTCGCTGTCCTGGCCCCTTCACGACCACAAAGCTCATGGTGGCCTCGCAGCATGTAAAGAGGAGGATGACCTCCAGGCCCTGCTCTTTCGAGGTAAGGAGGCCCTTCTCTTTCAGAAGCCATGAGGCCCTTGTCTCTCAAGGGCCACGAGGCCCTTCTCTCTCAGAGACCACAGACCACGCAGCAGGACCCGCCGGACCCCCACGAAGCTCACTGCCTCCTCCTCAGCCTCACTCACACTTCAGTGCCTCGGGGGACTGCTTTCAGACCTACCAGATGAGTCTCCGTAGAGGAAAAAGAATCCGGATGGCAGGAACGCGACACCGCACCCTCACAGCTGCCTGGCGTTCTTCACGCGAGCGAACGCACCAACCGGAAGACGGTCAGTGGACATGCGCACTGAGACGGGAGCCCAAGGAGCATGCGCGGCTGTGGGTGGGAAAGGGAGGGCTGCCGTTACAAGCCCCACACCCCAAACTCCCAAGTCCCATCCCCGCTGAGGATAACGGAATCCGACCTCCCTCTGCTGTTTCCTACGCCTCGGGGACTCAAATCCCTCAAATAGTGCTCCCCTCAAAACTCACTCCACCTTCAACTGAACCCCCCTCCCATCCAGGGCCCTCCCTCGCTCTGGCCTCACCATGGGGGCTGGGACCATGGAGACTGCCTGGAAAGACATTTAGACCACCTGCTGAAACAGAAATAACGACCTACCCCAAAAAGAGATCGTTCACCACGAACAAGTCAGAGAAAGAGACTGAAAGAAAAATGAATACAACCTCAAGGACCTGTAGGAAATTACTCGAACATCTATCATTTGTAGCATCAGAATCGCCGAAGGAGAAGTGACGGTACCCGTGAAACAGGAGCCAAGGACAGCCAGAGTGACACCGTTTGAAAAGCAACTCCATCTTGAAACTAACAAGACACATTCCTTACCAATCACAACCCATGGCCCCAACATGTTCGTAGTTGAGAAAACAGACTAAAGGTACCTACAAGGACATGCTCCCACAGCAGCGGAAAGTGCAGGGGTCCCAACACTCGTAGCAATATATGCTTTCAAAATAATTATGCTGTCACATACTTACACACTGGAGTGTCAAGGATACTTTTCTTTTAATCAGTAGAATGATAAATCTCATCATGCTGTCAGCCCACGCGCACAAAGGTACAGTTCAGGTTAGTCTTTACATGGATAAGACCCCAATATAAGAAAAACCTGGCCAGGCCAGGGTTCACACCTGTGATGCTAGTACTTTCAAAGGCTCAGCTGGGAAGATCGCTTGAGCTCAGGAGTTGAAGAGCAGCCTAAGCAACATGAAAAAATCTCATCAGTACCAAAGAAAGAAAAATTAGCAGGGCATGGTGGCAGGTACCTATCGTCACAGCTACTCAGGAGGCTGAGGTATAGTTATCGCTTGAGCCTAAAAGGTCAAGGCTGCAGTGAGTTCTGATAACACCACTCCCCTCTGGTCTGAGTGACAGAGTGAGATCCTGTCTAAATTTTTTAAAATAGGAAATAAAAATACAACTTTATTAACTTCATTCAGTACATTAACAGATTAAGGGGAAAAAATGCTGTGGTAATCAAATAGATGCACTGTCTGATGAAACTCAACATATATTCAATATGAATACTCTCAGAAAATTAGAACAGAATGGAATAACTTACTCTGATAAAGTCCAAAAATAGTACAGTAAATATGATGATAAAATGTTAAAATGTTTCCATTTCCCAGTAGGGATAAGACAAGGATGTCCACTATCATCATCGTACCAGGTGGATATGTCCAATGCCATAAAATCAGAAAAGGAAATAAAACTCTTAAAAATGGCAGCAACAGGCCCAGTGCGGTGGCCCACACCTGTAATCCCAGCACTATGGAAGGCAAAGGCGGATGCATCACTTGCACTCAGGAGTTCAAGAACCGCCTGGGGAAACTCGAAAACCCCATCTCTACAAAAAATACAAAAGAAAATAGAAAAAAATGGCAGAAACAAAACTGCTCTTATTCAAAGATGATATGACTCTGTATGTTGAAAACTGAAAAGGATCTAGAAGTAAACTTTTAGAATTCATAGCCATATTTAACAAGGTTGCTGGATAGAAAAATCCATATATAAGTATTAGGTCTGTACATGCCAGCTCAAACAGTGAGAATATAAAATTCAAAGAATGATACGTATTTCACAGCATCAAATATCTAGAAATAAAGTTCACAAAAGATGCGCAAGACTTCTTTGCAGAAGGCTATAAAGCTTTATTGAGAGAACTTTAATGAACAAATTTCCAACATGAAAGCGGCCTGCGTCATTTCAGTGTGTCTTATTTTAACACTGTGATTGCTTTTCACCTGTAACAGAAACACAACAGTTGGGAACATGACTTAGGAACAGATTATTTAGATGACCCTAAAGGCATACAAAGCACATTATACTTTGGGTTTCATAAAATGGACTAAAAACAGGACCCTAAGGGTGATCCTGTGTCTTACATCCAAAGTGTATCTCTCTATACATCCAAAGTGTATCTCTCTATACGCTTTGAGGGTAGACCTGAAGAATTTAAGGGTAATTTCATCCCTAAACATCAAATGCTTCCCTTAAATTCAGAAGCACGTATAATTAAGTCAGCTATTTGGAAAACACATGTGCAAAACATACTTCAGTTGATTACTCAGGAAGTATTAAAGTCACGGTCTTTCAACTTCAAATCTTATCAACTCATGTCTCAAAAGCTGAAACTTACATGTAACATTTGATATTGTTAGAGCTGATTATATCATCCAAGTGTCTACAGTCTTATTAGAAATAGTGGCTCATGAAGACTGACAGTGGGGCAGGGAGCATGCTTAACATAGGCATCTTACTCACACCTATGCTGAGCACCATTGAGCTACATGCCACAGATGATAGAAACTAAACAGCCTCTCGACATTTGATAATTCAGTCACTCAAGGTTTCCGTGGGGAAAGATTTAAAAAGCAATTATTCATTAAGAGCCAGAGAATCCCAGCCTAGGGCAACATAGTGAGACCTCATCTCTACAATAAATTTACAACAGCAAAAAAAAAAAAATTAGTCAGGCACGGTGGCTTGTGCATGTAGTTCCAGCCACTCAGGAGGCTGAGGTGGGAGAATCGCTTGAACCTGGGAAGCAGAGGTTGCAGTGAACTGAAATCACACCACTACACTCCAGCCTGGTGACAGAGTGAAACTCTGTCTCAAACAAACAAACAAAAGAAGCCAGGTAATTCAGAATTTAACAGGATCTAGCAATAGGCATTCAGGTCTCCACACAGAAAATAAACACGGAGCAGAGTGCCCGCTCACTTTCTTCGTAGCAATGAAATCTCAATTAACAGGTTTGCAGATGACACAGGCCAGGGTTTCATGATTTATGATACACAAATCATGCAAAACAGATGACCGCTGTATCTTATGCATTCCATACAACAGGATCAGAGTATGAAAGAACCAGAATGAAAAATAATTTTAAAATATCTGACAAACTATTTTTTCAAGAACCAAAGATAGGTTGAGAAGTTAATGAATCTGTTCAGAATCTCACAAATGCTCTAAGAACTGGTATTAGAACCTGCATCAAGTGCTTCAGGATACTTCACACCAACTGATAGGTGTTACAAATCTGGTATGTATTTGTTAAAAGCAGACCAAAGCGTCTGAAAATTATGAACTATTGGATTAGAGGTCTTATACTCAAAAGTTTTCATTCAAGATGGCTTTGACTCAGTGCATTTCTATATCTGACAGTCTATAGGTTGGGTGCTGAACTACATTTCAAATAACCTTTATGTTAGAAGAACTCTATTATTAAGGAGGAAGTATTGTTACCTCTCTGTTATTAAAAATATAATACTGGGTTGGGCACATTGGCTCACATCTGTAATTCTGGCACTTTGGGAGGCCAAGGCAGGTGGATCACCTGAAGTTAGGAGTTCGCGACCAGCTTGTGCAACATGACAAAAGCCCATCTTGACTAAAGGTACAAAAATTAGCTAGGCTGGGAGGCGAATGCCTGTAATCCCAGCTACTCGGGAGGCTCAGGCAGGAGAATCACTTCAACTTGGGAGCTGGAAGTTCCTGTGAGCTAAGATGACACCACTGCACTCCCCCTGGGCAACAGAGCGAGACTCCATCTCAAAAACAATAAGAATAAGAATATCACACTCTGGAAACAGACACCCTACAATGTGCATGCCTCATAAATTGCCTACCTGCTTCTGGCGGTTGCACCTCCTCTGGATTTGGCAGGCACACCTCCTGGACATCAGGACCATCTCCACGCTCACACCCAGTCTTCAGGCGAACCTCTTCCTGACTATCAGCTTCAGGTTCCGGCCCTTAAAAATTAAAATTATCAATTCAAGCAGTAAAATATGAAATATGAATAAGGAAATCACATTCATGCTCTCGGTGTTATTAAATAAAGGCTTCAGCTAGTGTCATAAGAAATGTGCTCATCACAATCCCAGGAACATTATTTCAGGAGTCTGTTAGCAGAAAACAGGAAAACAGGGTTTTCCAAATATTACCCCCTTCTTTCCCGAAGACTGCCTTCAGACAACTTTGCCACCTCCTTTCATTTCTCTGTTATTGGACTTCTGAGTGTCCTTCTCATATTAAAGGACTCAAGGCTGAAATCCTGTCTCTCATAGCACTAACACTCCTAGCACTTACACTCTTATACAGCATGAGTAGCCACCAATAAATCCTGAGTGAAAAATCTTTAGAACATACACGAAAAAGCCCAAACTGCTGAACATCGTACAAACCAACTGGTCTATCCTCCTCAAAAATGTCCGTATCATCAATGACAAAGAAAAATTAAGAAACCATTCCAGATTAAACTAAAACCACATGACAAGTACATGCAACACATGATCCTGAATTGGACTCTGCATTAGAAAAAGAAATTCTATAAAGGTAATCGGGGGGAATGGACTAAAAAAAAAAGGAAATCATCTGGGCTGGGCACGGTGGCTCACACCTGTAATCCCAGCATTTTGGGATGCCAAGGTGGGCAGATCAGGTGAGGTCAGAAGCTCAAAACCAGCCTGGCCAACGTGGTGAAACCCCATCTCTACTACAAATGCAAAAAGGCCGGACACAGTGGCTCACACCTGTAATCCCAGTACTTTGGGAGGCCGAGGTGGGCAGATCACAAGGAGTTTGAGACCACCCTGACCAACACGATGAAACCCTGTCTCTACTAAAAATGCAAAAATTAGCTGGGTGTGGTGGTGTACAACTGTAATCCCAGCTACTCAGGTGGCTGAGGCAGGAGAATTGCTTGAACCCAGAAGGTGGAGATTTCAGTGATCCGAGATTGCGCCACTGCACTCCAGTCTGGGCAACAGAGTGAGACTCTTTCTCAAAAAAAAAAATACCAAAAAAGGAGAAACATTACCCAGGTGCAGTGACCAGCAACTGTAGTTTCAGCTACTTCCGAGGCCAAGGCATGAGAATCCCTTCAACCTGGGACATGTAGGTTGCAGTGAGTTGAGATCGCACTACTGCACTCCAGCCTGGACAACAGAGTGAGATTCCATCTCAAATAAATAAATAAATAAAATTGTCTGAAAAACTGACAGAATTTGAGCATACACTGCATATGAAATGACTGCAGAGAGTTTGAGCTGCTGGGCTGCCATGAGGTTCATGGATCCTGCCTGCAAACGCATCCGCAAGTTGAGATGTCGCACCCGTCCCCCCAAGCCAAGCCCTCCAACCCCAGTAACCCTCGAGTCTTCTTTGACGTGGACATCGGAGGGGAGCGAGTGGGTCGAACTGTCTTAGAATTGTTTGCAGATATTGTGCCCAAAACTGCGGAAAATTTTCGTGCACTGTGTACAGGAGAAAAAGGCATTGAACCCACAACTGGAAAACCTCTCCATTTCAAAGGATGCCCTTTTCATCAAATTATTAAGAAATTTATGATCCAGGGCGGAGACTTCTCAAATCGGAATGCGACAGGTGGAGAAAGTATTTACGGTGGAAAATTTGAAGATGAAAATTTCCATTATAAGCATGATCGGGAGGGTTTACTGAGCATGGCAAATGCAGGCCGCAACACAAATGGTTCTCAGTTTTTTATCACAATAGTTCCAACTCCTCATTTGGATGGGAAACATGTGGTGTTTGGCCAAGTAATTAAAGGAATAGGGGTGGTAAGGATATTGGAAAACGTAGAAGTGAAAGGTGAAAAACCTGCCAAATTGTGCGTTATTGCAGAATGTGGAGAATTGAAGGAAGGAGATGATTGGGGAATATTCCCAAAAGATGGCTCTGGCGACAGTCATCCAGATTTCCCTGAGGATGTGGATATAGATTTAAAAGACGTAGATAAAATTTTATTAATAACAGAAGACTTAAAAAACATTGGAAATACTTTTTTCAAATCCCAGAACTGGGAGATGGCCATTAAAAAATATGCAAAAGTTTTTAAGATATGTTGACAGTTCAAAGGCTGTTATCAAGACAGCAGATAGAGCCAAGCTGCAACCTATAGCTTTAAGCTGTGTACTGAATATTGGTGCTTGTAAACTGAAGATGTCAAATTGGCAGGAAGCAATTGACAGTTGTCTGGAGGCTCTTGAAATAGACCCATCAAATACCAAAGCATTGTACCAAAGAGCTCAAGGATGGCAAGGATTAAGAGAATATGATCAAGCATTGGCTGATCTTAAAAAAGCTCAGGAGATAGCACCAGAAGATAAAGCTATCCAGGCAGAATTGCTGACAGTCAAACAAAAGATAAAGGCACAGAAAGATAAAGAGAAGGCAGCATATGCAAAAATGTTTGCTTAGTAAGGATTCAATTTTGCTTATTGTGTGATTGTATAAATGCAATAAGAAAATTTAAAGGTTTTTGTCTATCAATACGATCCCTAATGTTTCTTTTTACACCTCAGTTCCTCATTGCTTACAGTTTAGGAGTACTGATAGGGGTTCATGATTAATAAACATGCTACAATACAGTAAGTTAAGTGTTTTTTTTTTGTTTGTTTGTTTGGAGATGGAGTCTCACTTTGTCACCCAGGCTGGAGTGTAGTGGTGCGATCTTGGCTCACTGCAACCTCTGCCTCCCGGCTTCAAGTGATTCTTCTGCCTCAGCCTTCTGAGTAGCTGGGACTAAAGGCGTGTGCCACCAAGCCTGGCTAATTTTTGTATTTTTAGTACAGTGGGTTTTTACCATATAGGTCAGGCTGGTCTTGAACTCTTGACCTCATGATCTGCCCACCTCAGCCTCCCAAAGTGCTGAGATTATAGGCATGAGCCACCACACCCAGCTAAGTGAAATACTTTTTAAAATGGTTATCTGCATTATTCATGAGGGATAATGGTGTTCAGTCTGTTTTTAAACTCGTAAAGACACATCTTGTTGAATAAAGAGATGAAATCTTAAAAAAAAAAGAAATGACTGCATATTCTCATTGTCACATTTCCTGATTTTGAACTTTGTGCAGTATGATCCAAGGAATGACTTGTTCTTTCTTTTGACGATATACACACACTCAAGTACTTAGGGTAAAGGGCCATCATACCTGAAACTTTATGTAAATAATTCACCATTAATAACAGTAAACATAATATCCCATAAACGTGTGTATGAGTGTGTGGCCATCAGGGTAAGAGAGGTAAGGAAGAGATATGAAACAAATAGAGCAAATGCTATTAACAATTGGTGAATCTAGGTGAAAAGTGTATGAGTTAAGTGTACTATAATTGCAAATTTTCTATCAATGTTATATCCTGAAAATATACAAATAAAAATTTAGAAGAATATATGACAACTATACTGAATTGAGGAAGATAGTTTTTTTTAATTATGGTAAAAAAAAAATACATGTGAAATTTACCATCTTATCTATTTTTAAGTGTTACAGTTCAGTAAGGAGCTATGTTTGCAACATTACCAACAACTAGGAACAAACTTTGCATGTTAATTTTCCTCTATCATGAAACGTTTACATATTTCTTTATTGGTTAGCAATGAGGTCTTGCTATGTTTCCCGGGCTGGGCTTGAACTCCTGGCCTGAAGCAATCCTCTCACCTCAGCCTCCCAAGTAGCTGGGAATATGAATGCATGACATTCAGTCCAGGTTGAGACCTTTCTCTTAAATGACAATCCAGGGATAAACCACAGGACTTGGACAATGCTTATATTCAGCCATAGAGTACCAAGAGCAGTGGGCATCAGATAAGAAATCTGAAGTCCACAACATGGATAGGATTTCAGTTACAATTACAATGTAAATTTCTGAGGATTCATTAGCTGAATGCACTTGAGGACTATGAAAAATCTTATAGTCATGACACCCATTACCTATTGGGGTAAACAGAAACTTAACTTTCTTCAAAGAAAGTTATATTTCTGTCCAAAGGTCCTAAATATACTAGTCCATAAATGAACCCCATGTAGAACAAAGCACCAAAAATTACATGGTTTGTGAATCACAGCAAATATACTGTCCTGCACTGAGAATAAGGCAGCGGGTGGACAGCAACTAATGGGCATTGTTGTCAGTCATATTCGAGAAACCTTTAACAGTGAATCCCTAGAATAATCTATAACCTGAGTTACATAAATGTTTGTTTTCAAACTATGTTATCTAGGAGAAATTATTTTTACCTCATGTTAATCTCAGGAAGGGTAATTCCTTTTTTTGGTTTTTCTAACAATAAAAGGATTTAATCACCTCCTAAACCCACTTAGAAAATCATACTAAACCAGGTACCTGTATGGCAGTATCCTGATTTATCTAGCTTTATCAACCTTACCACAGAAAAATATCAATCAAAGGAAATGGTGGCCAACATTCAGTGACTCGGGTTTTTTTTGTTTTTTTTTTTTTTGAGACAGAGTTTCACTCTTGTTTCCCAGGCTGGAGAGCAATGGCGCTATCGCAGCTCACTGCAACCTCCGCCTTCTGAGTTCAGGCAATTCTCCTGCCTCACCCTCCGGAGTAGCTGGGATTACAGGCACGCGCCACCATGCCCAGCTAATTTTTTGTATTTTTAGTAGAGACGGGGTTTCACCATGTTGACCAGGATAGTCTTGATCTCTTGACCTCGTGATCCACCTGCCTCGGCCTCCCAAAGTGCTGGGATTACAGGCTTGAGCCACCGCACCCAGCCCAGTGACTCGGTTTTTAGAGTTGCTCTTGCTCCTCCAAACTGGGTCTATTACTGGGCCAGTACTAAGCTACCTTACAGTAAAGTATTTGAGTTTTAAACATTTTAAGCAAAATCCTTTTGAAAAAAATTAAAATTTTGCATTCACCAGTCAGGTGCTCTTGAATAAAACACAATCCCCAAGCCTTCATTCTCTCATTCATAAAGTGGAGATATTTTATCATAGTGAGAAATTTCCCTAAGCTAAACTGCAAACTACATACCCTCCTCACTTTCCAGTCAATTTCAGGCATTCTTTCCATTGTTTTGTTTCCTCATGTTCCTGCTATGTGACAATGCATGAGACACATACACACACACACGCACGCGCACACACACACACACACACACACACACCAACATGCATTCTTCTTCTCTTTCCCTTCACCTTGACCTGCAGATACTCCTTCATCCTCTCCCTCCTGAGCAGGTGCAGGATCGTGACTTTGAGTTGCTGGTTCCCATTCTTCATCACTGAACTGCTCAAGCTAGGGAATATGTATGTGTGTGCAAATTTTTAAAAAACTTTTGTTTTCAATACATATCAATTATATATACACAGAATACATAGATGTTTCTGATCATAACTAAGCCTAAAGCTATTTCTCCAACTCTATTCTGTATGCTTAATAAGGTTACTCTATCCACAGAAAGGCTACTCTATCCACAGAAAGGTTACTCTGAGAAAAGTGACCCGGAAGGACTTTGGAAGCTATTATACTCTATGTTGGAATAGATGTGTACAATCTGTCATTAGGAAGCATGAGAAGGAAGTCATGGGCAAAAGCTGGAGAACCACAAGAGAAAAAATATCCTGAATCAATGTTTCCTTAATGAGATACCATATTCATTTTTCATCAGCATGAAAGACATTTATCAGTCTATCTATAGTAATGCAACAACACTATCACAAAGATTAATTTCTGCCATCGAATGCTAAAGCACCCACCAGCATGGGCCCAATCACTTCAGGAGGTTTGACATGGCGTCTTGGTCTAAGCCAATAGGTTGATCTTCCTCACCAACTCATATTTCACACTGAAAACAGAAAACTGTGATTGGGAATATACACTTGAGAGGACAGATATATTTGATCACTTCCATGGCTAAATGCTAACTTGTCATTTTAATTTTGAAAATACTTTCAAAATAAGTCTGAGTAAAGAAAGCATAAGTGAGTATGTTTTCTGAGTGCTTGCAAAGCCACTTATGCTGGCCAAGCTGCAAAGCCATCTTAAGGCATGTGGCTAAAGGCAGAGGGCATTTTTTTAAAATCTGTTTTACACACGAGGTCTCACTCTGTTGCTCAGCCTGGAGTGCAGCAGCAGGATCATAGCTCACTGCAGCCTTGACCTCCTACTCAAGTGATCCTCCAGCCTCAGCATCTGGAGTAGCTGGGACCACAAGTGCGTGCCACTGCGCCTCGCTGGCAGAAGGCATTTCTGATGAGGTTTACTTTCATAAGTGGACTCCACATGAAAACACTAGTGAATCACAGTTCCCATGACTGCTGCTATTGACACATTCCCACTTACTAGAGCCAGTCACCCACCTCAAATCAAATTTGGTTAGAACTCACAGCCTCGTCCACTCTTTCCTATTGTTTCTAGACCTTCTATGTCAGAGGTGAGACCTTGCAAGGCTTCTCACTCAGGCACTCCTCACTTGATAACACTGTAGGGGGGGGGGCGCGCTAACCAGCCTGCAGCGTTCCCAGGTGCCAGGCCCCTTCTTTACCGCCCATCTCACCCCTTGCCCTGTGACTTCCATCCTTCTAGCAGCAGCCCCAGCACTCGTCCCATCATCACCTGAGCCCCTAACCACCTCCCCTCCACAACCCACCTTCCTCCCTGTCCTGGCCCCTTCACAACCACAAAGCCAATGGTGGCATCACAGTCTGTGAGGAGGAGAAGGACGACTTTGAGACCCTTTTCCGTCAGAGGCCACGAGGCCCTTCTCCCTCAAAGGCCACAGACCGCCACACTGCGGGACCCACCGGACCCTCCCGCAGCCCACTGGCTCCTCCTCTCCCTCACTCACACTTCAACTCCTGGGAGGACTGGCCTGTGGACCTACCAGATGAGTCTCAGTAGAGGAAAAAGAGTCCAGATGGCAGGAATGCGACCGCACACCCTCACAGCTCCCTGGCATTCTCCACGTGGGCAAAGGGGCAGATCTGAAAATGCCCAGTGAACATGCACACTGAGGTGTAAGCCCTAGGAGCACACGCGGATGGGGGGAAAGGTAGGGTTGCAGCTCCCAGCCCCACACCCTAAACCCCGGATTCTCATCCCCAGTGAGGATGATGGAATCTGACCGACCTCCCTCTGTTGCTTCATATGCCTCTGGGACTCAAATACCTCAAATACTGCTCCCCTCAAAACTCACTCCATCTTCAACTGAACCCCATTCTCTTCCAGGGCCCTCTCTTGCCCGGGCCTCACCATAGTGACAAGGACCATGGTGGCTGCCTGTGAAGAGAGGTAGACCACCTGCTCAAATAGAAATAGCAACATGCCCCATAGCATTTACACAAGATCAAGAGTCTCATAACCTAGTATTCAAAATGTCCAGCATGTAATTCAAAATTACCCAGAATATGAAGAACCAGGAAAATAAGAGAACTAAAATGGGGAAAGACAATCCACTGACACCAATGCTAAGATAGAGATGTTGGGATTATCTGGCAACACCTTTAAAGATGCTATTTTTAAAATGCCTAAACAAGTAATCATGAACAGTTTTGAAACAAGTAAAAACAGAAAATGCTGGCACAAAAAAAGAATATTTAAAGAAGAAACAAATGGAAATTTTAGAAGTGGAAAATATGATAGCCAAAGAAATAAATTCTTATTGAATGGATTCAATAGCAGAATGGAGGCAAGAAAGGAGTTTGTGAACTCAAAGAGATAAATAGAAAGTGTTCTGTCTGGCAGAGAACAGTGACTTACAGCATTAATCCTAGTATTTTTGCAGGCTGAAGAAGGTAGATGGTTTGAGGCTGGAGTGAGACCAGCCTGGGCAACATAGTGAGACTCATCTCTACAAAAAAAAATTAACAATCCAGATCCAGTGGCTCATAGCTGTAATCCCAGCACTTTGGGAGGCCAAGGCAGGTGGATCATCTGAGGACAGGAGTTCAAGACCAACCTGGCCAACATGGTGAAACCCATCTCTACAAAAATTACAAAAATTTAACTGGTCATGGTGGTGGGCACCTGTAATCTCAGCTACTCAGGTGAATGATGCAGGAGAATCACTTGAACCCAGGAGGCTGAGGTGCAGTGAGCTAAAATCACACCACTACACTCCAGCCTGGGTGAAAGGAGTGAAACTCCACCTAAAAAAAAAAAGGGTCGGGTGCGGTGGCTCACGCCTATAATCCCAGCACTTTGGGAGGCCAAGGCGGGTGGATCACGAGGTCAAGAGATCGAGACCATCTTGGTCAACATGGTGAAACCCCGTCTCTACTAAAAATACAAAAATTAGCTGGGCATGGTGGCATGTGCCTATAGTGTGCCCAGCTAGTGGGGAGGCTGAGGCAGGAGAATTGCTTGAACCCAGGAGGCAGAGGTTGCGGTGAGCTGAGATCGCACCGTTGCACTCCAGCCTGGGTAACAAGAGTAAAGCTCCGTCTCAAAAAAAAAAAAACTTAAAAATAGCTGAGTGCGCTAACACGTGCCTGTACTCCTAGCTACTGTGAAAGCTGAGGCAGGAGGAACCCTTGAGCCCAGGAGTTCAAGGCTGCAGTGAGCTAAGATCACACCACAACACTCAAGCCTGGGCAACAGAGTGAGACTCTGTCTCTAAAACAAAACAAAAAGAAATTGTTCAATATGAACAAGTCAGAGAAAGAGGCTGACAGAAAAATAAATACAACCTCAAGGACCTGTAAGAAAATACTAAAACATCTGGCCAGGGGCTGTGGTTCATGCCTGCAATCCTAGCACTGGGAGGCCAAGGAGGGTGGATCACAAGGTCAGGAGATCGAGACCATCCTGGCTAACACGGTGAAATCCCGCCTCTACTATAATACAAAAAACTAGCCGAGTGTGGTGGCGTGCGTCTGTAGTCCCAGCTACTCAGGAGGCTGAGGCAGGAGAATCGCTTGAACCTGGGAGGTGGAGGTTGCGGTGAGCCAAGATCACGCCACTGCACTCCAGCCTGGCAACAGAGCAAGACTCTATCTCAAAGAAAGAAAGAAAGAAAGAAAGAAAGAGCTCAGTCGCCGCTGCCAGGTCACGTACGGTGTTCTCTTGCCGCTCCGCTCCCCTGCTCCTCTGCTGGTCGCAATGGAAGAAGAAATTGCTGCGCTCGTCATTGACAATGGTTCCGGCATGTGCAAAGCTGGCTTTGCTGGGGACGACGCCCCCCGAGCCGTGTTTCCCTCCATTGTCGGGCACCCTCGGCACCAGGGCGTGATGGTCGGCATGGGCCAGAAGGACTCCTACGTGGGCGACGAGGCCCAGAGCAAGCGCGGCATCCTGACCCTGAAGTACCCCATCGAGCACGGCATCGTCACCAATTGGGATGATACGGAGAAAATCTGGCACCACACTTTTTACAATGAGTTGCGTGTGGCCCCGGAGGAGCACCCCGTGCTGCTGACCGAGGCCCCCCTGAACCCCAAGGCCAACAGAGAGAAGATGACTCAGATCATGTTTGAGACCTTCAACACCCCAGCCATGTACGTGGCTATCCAGGCCGTGCTGTCCCTCTACGCCTCTGGGCGCACCACTGGTATTGTCATGGACTCTGGAGACGGGGTAACCCACACGGTGCCCATTTACGAGGGCTATGCCCTTCCACACGCTATCCTGCGTCTGGACCTGGCTGGCCAGGACCTGACCGACTACCTCATGAAGATCCTCACGGAGCGCGGCTACAGCTTCACCACCACGGCCGAGCAGGAGATCGTATGCGACATCAAGGAGAAGCTGTGCTATGTCGCCCTGGACTTCGAGCAGGAGATGGCCACAGCTGCATCCTCCTCCTCTCTGGAGAAGAGCTATGAGCTGCCTGACGGCCAGGTCATCACCATTGGTAACGAGCGGTTCCGGTGTCCGGAGGCGCTGTTCCAGCCTTCCTTTCTTGGCATGGAATCTTGTGGCATCCATGAGACCACCTTCAACTCCATCATGAAGTGTGACGTGGACATCCACAAAGACCTGTACGCCAACACTGTGCTGTCTGGTGGCACCACCATGTACCCAGGCATCGCCGACAGGATGCAGAAGGAGATCACTGCTCTTGCGCCCAGCACCATGAAGATCAAGATCATTGCACCCCCAGAGCATAAGTACTCCGTGTGGATCGGCGGCTCCATCCTGGCCTCACTGTCCACCTTCCAACAGATGTGGATTAGCAAGCAGGAGTACGATGAGTCTGGCCCCTCCATCGTCCACCGCAAATGCTTCTAAATGGACTGCAAGCAGATGCATAGCATTTGCTGCATGGGTTAATTCGGAAGTATAAATTTGCCCCTGGCAAATGCATACACCTCATGCTAGCCTCATGAAACTGGAATAAGCCTTTGAAAAGAAATTGTCCTTGAAGCTTGTATCTGATATCAGCACTGGATTGTAGAACTTGTTGCTGATTTTGACCTTGTATTCAAGTTAATTGTTCCCCTTATTTGTTTAATACCCTGTACATATCTGATTTCAACTTTTAGTACATGTGGCTTGGTCACTTCGTGGCTGAGGTAAAAATGTGCCTGGGGGCAGACAAGTCTGCCTTGGTGAGTGCATGGCCAGCAGTCTCTTAGCTGTGCGGGGTATTCATGTGTCAGGGCTTAGTGTTCTGCGATTGCTCTAGAGGCCGGCAAGGGCTGCCAGTCTGTCAGGGTGGGAAAGTCCAAGCCATAGGACCCGGTTTCCTTTCTTACCTGATGTTTTCCTGCCAGAGCACCATGGGCTGTTACTTGCCTTGAGTTGGAAGCGGTTTTCATTTACA